AGCCCACCCGCCAGCAGTTGTAATATGGATGTAGTGATGGGTATGATAGTGTTTCCTTTGAGGGTGTGGGGAGGGAGGGGGTAGGGGGAAGAAAGAGAACTAAACGAAAGACTTAAATATTTACTTAAAAAAATCAGGTATGAATTCGCCATATATCGTAAAGGAACAATCACTGAAAAAAAAAAAGAAAAGAAAAAAAGATTTAGCAAATTTTAATTAGCTCTCGGTTTATTTATGACAACTGACTATGCGTTGCCATCTTTTCGGAGACAAATCATATTTAAATACTAAAAATAAGACGGCAAAAGAAGTGTGAATTTCAGCGTTTTAAAAGAAACAACTCCATAAAGGAAACCAACCTTCTGGCTTCTGGCTGACAAACTTTCTTCAGGAAATACCTGTGGAGAACGACAGTTTAGCAAATACCACACAACACTTAATTGAAACTTGGAGTTGTGCAATGCACTAACATTGGATCATTAAAATAGCTCGATCGCATGTTCGTTTAAAGGTGACTAGTGAGGAGTTTAAACAGAAGCCAAACAATGTAAATATGGTAATTTTGTTGTTGTCTACTCTAAATGTCACGAGCCCTACTTTGTCACCCAGTCGACATATGCAAAGAATGGAGAGTTGTTCGGAGTTATTTTAAATATCTATAAATATATATATTTCCCTGCAGGAACCAAAGCGTGAAAAGAAAAAATGCAATTTAAAAAAAGGAAAGAGAAAAAAAAAGGAAAATATTTAAAATTCTATATCAGTTTACAAAGGATACGGTGTTCTATCGTTAAGGTAATTTGCTGTTGAGAATATCTGAATGTATATTTCATACAGGAACGGTGTTTTACAAGACTTGTAAATAATAAAAAAAGAACCCATGACCTATTTTGTTCGAATGCTTTTTTTTTCCCCCTCCTGTTTTTGTGTTCCTTTGGGGCTAGAGGGTGTGGGATTTCTTTACATGTGCAACAAAGCGGTGATAAGAATGTTTTTTGATTAATAAATTTACCGAATGGATGTAATTTCTTTGACACGGTTCACAAAATGCAATATCTTTATATGACATCACTGTTTTCAATATGTATCATCTATATGTATATACAGTTTTCTTTTAATATGCGAAAGTATTTGGTTGCATGTATACAGTGGAACAGCGCACAAGGAAAATAAAAAAATGGAAACTTTATATTTTTACTCTGGTGTTACGTTACTGCATGTTCTTTTATCCGATGCAACTCTGGGACCCGAAATTCCTCGTGACCTTGTTCGGGCATTTGGGGGGAATTATTCTTCTTTTGTGAACTTCGCCGTTAAATCTTCTGCTCTGGAGTTAACAAGTGAACCTAGGCTTGTCCAAGCATCGTTTCAGCAGGGCTCAGGAAAAGGAAAATGAAGGAATGATCATCGCTCACTACCCCTTAGGCCTTTTCCTTACCCTGCCAGCGCCGGCGGGGCAAGGGTTTGGTGTGACATTGCTGTTTGCTCCCTGCCACATGTGTCCAGGAGAACTGCTTGGGAAACTGTGGTGTCGGTAGCGTTTGGGGCAGATTTTAGAAGCCCGGAACCAAAGGGAATGTCCAAGCCAGCCCATGGATGGGGCCAGAAGCCCTAAGAAAATTGTTGTCTTTGGAAAAAACAATTAAAAAAAAAAATCCGCATGGCGGTGTGGTGGAAATGGACTGTTTGAAATTGTCCTTGATCTCCAAGGCAGGGGGGGGGTGGGCTGAGGAGAGCGGGGGGAGGTGAGGGGGGATGAGGGGGAAGTGGGCTGGAGGGTGAAAGTTGGGGGGGGAAGAAAACCCCAAACCCCAAACCCCAAACAATAGCTGAGATAGGAACGTGTTTTGGGCAGAGCATCTGAATCTTTAATGTCGACCCTAATCCTAATCAGGAGAAGAAAGTACATTCTGTTTTCGCATTGTTTACTGGCTTTGAACTTCTGTATTGCTTGGACATCACCCATAAACTTGAGGTGAAGGACTTACTGACTTTGGGCCTTTGTTGACAACCGCCACCCAGCCAGACAACATCTACCCCAAGCAAATGTTTAAAAGTGAGGGGGGACTTTGCTTGTTTGTTTGTTTGTCTAGCATGCGAGGGGGAAATGCCGGTGAAAGGGAGACGGACAGATGGACGGGCGGTGGGAGCGGGACAGAGGGACGGATGGAGAGCGGAATGACCATGAAAGTTAAGCCAGCAAGCTTCCTTTCCTGGTTAAAAATTAACTGGCATTCATAGCCAGTCCCAGGGACAGTTAAAGCATGGAGTTTCTCCGGTGGGGGTTTTGATTTCCTAGCCCAATAAAAATCGCATCCTCTGTGTTTGCTGCGACAATGTGGCCATAAAA